CGTCCGTACGACTGGGTAGTGTCGGATTCCCGAGGAAGAAGTCCTCTGTCCTACCGACTAAAACCCCTCTACCTCAGGCCGTTCTAGGGCCAACTACCTATATAAACAGTTGCATGTTGAAATTATGCACCCCCTATGTGAACCACCCCGAGCCGCCAATGGATTTGCTATCATATTTCTAATTCGAGCTGACTCTTTCTTAATTAATCTTAATTCTTACATAAATCAAGTTACTATTTCCCTTCCGTGTTCCTGCTGACTACCTACTTTGAAAATTAATGGTAATTATAGTTTTAAAACTGAAATCTGCATAGGGTTCATTAATACTTTATCGTGTCGCGGAATTGATTTAAGGAACGTCACCGCTTCCATTTTACTGAATTATTGACTCTTCTGCCTCTTCGCGCCCGTTTTTTCCCGAATATTTTAAGTTCGGCCTCTTCCTTTTTCTCGTTCGCTCTTCTCATTGTTCGCACAGAAAATTGCTTTCCTAATGAACTTACGCCGTTTTTAAATGTATTACTACTCCCGCGCCACTGTCTCCTGATCGCAATTGGAATACGTAATGGAAACTTCGGCCCTGTGCTATATTTGAAGCTGTTTGCCGAATTGGTGGTTAAAACTCTTCTACATCATTACGCGGATTTCAGAAGAGAACTACTGGACTGTTCTAATAAAAGCCAGTGAAATCCGATGATATAAGTAACTAATTAAGTACAAGTTGAACAACACCCTACGCTAAAGTTAGTCCCAAAAGAACGACGAGAGTTTATCCATATCCATAAATCTATCTATTGCATATACGAGGGCGGTTCAATAAGTACCCGTGTTTGAAGACGGAGGACGTTCCTGAGGGAAATTGGTGTTGTCATCGTGTGCTGCCATCTATCAAACCACGCCAAAACGAATTTCAGACTGATTGATAGGTTAGTTTGGATTTGGCAGCCATTCGACTGAGACGTGTTTCGTTATTTTCGCTAAGATGGAAAAAGAGCAGTATCGTTCGGTAACTCGCTTTTTGTTTTTGGATGGGAAAAAATGCTAGGAGATGAAAGAAAGTTGGATACTGTTTATGGAGACGTTTCACCATGTACGACCACAGTTAGATATTGCTTCAACGAATTTAAACGTGGGCAAAGATCCGTTTTTGATAGGAGCGACCAGGAAGCCTGGCAAACGTTGTTACCGAGGAAATCATTTTACGGATTTTTTAGGAAAAGGAAGAACGATCACTGGACAATATTACAGTGAGTTATTGGACCGCTTCGACAAAAAATTGAAGGAGACACGGACGCATTTGACGAAAAAGAAGGTGCGTTTTCAACACGATAACGCACCGGCACATTCATCAGGAGTTGTTGACGCCAAATGCACGAATTACGTTATGAATTTGCTGCCGCACACCCCGTACTCACTCGATTTGACTCCCTGCAACTTCATCTTGTTCCCTACCATGAAGAAATGACTAGCGAGAAAGAAATTTAGCTCAAACGAGGAAGTCATCGCCAAGACAGGGGGGATTTTGGAGAGTTCGACAAATCTTATTTTTTGGAGGGGTAAAAAAAATGGCAGGGTCGTTGGGAGAAGTGTATCTTTCTAAAAGGGGACTATGTTGAAAAATAAAAAAACAAATTTAAAAAAAAAAGGTGTCTTCCTCGTACACCAATTGGAACAAAATAAAAGATTAGGACCTAAAATACTACTTAAAAATGTCAAATCGCTTTTTAGATTTCTAAACGTTTTTATGTGGAGAATTTTGGGTCTTGGATCTTGGAGTTTTATTTATACTCCATTTGATTTTCTTGTACCAATTGGAACGTTTCACACTTTTTGAAATTTCCCTATGGGTGGAAATTATGTGTTCGTGTCACTTGGTGAAACATGTTACCGTAAAATTATTGGGTTTACACCATTAATGATCGCCCTGTCCTAATTGTAATATAAAAAAATAACATATTTTTAGTAGTAAAAGTTGTACTTAATTCAAAAAATAGGCAGTTTATTACGTAGGAGAAATTAAGGGTTTTTATGTCCAGCAACAAATTCTGGTGAAACCATAATAAAAAAAACTTTATATTTAGTTACACTTCAATTGACGTTAAGGAAATACACGCCTGAAAGAGCACAATTAATTATGTCTTGTTTATCCTCAAGTTGTTGTATTATTAACGAGCACGGAAGCGAGGTGATGTTGTTCGTCCTTCGATGGTTGATGAGGCAGTCCCAATCTCACCCATTATTAGCATGCACTAGATCACGTGGTGTCAACATACAACACCATTGATAATAATTAATACTTGTAAATAAATTTTAAGCAATTATTTATATGGTAATATTTAAAAAGGGGCCATTCGTAACTTGCGTCGCACATTAATGGGGGAAGGGGAGAGTCAACAGTTACATCGCGCGCCAAGGAAGGGGACGAGTCATAAGCTTCATGAAGTCACATGTATAATAAATGTAAACTCAAAACTCTAAACTTCAATGCTAACGAAAACCTAATTATTGTTTTAATTTAACAATTTATAAATTTAAAATTGCAAAGTATGTAACGTCACACCAGGGGTGGGGTCATACAAATGTGACCACTTCAGACAAGGACCGGGAGTCTGATAATCATGAAAATCTTGTCGAGTGTTATAATTTATGGAAGGCGTTCCAGTGTGAACCAATAGTATGCTAATAACTGGCAAAATTAATGAAAATCTTTAAATTGTTTTCCTGTTTAATTTACACATAATTTGGTAAATGTTTAGATGATGGCCCCCATCCCTGAAGGGGGTGGGTGGGATCGAATGAGGGTGGTCACTTGAGTAAAACCCCATAAAAATTTGCGGCGATCTCCCATAAAAAGTTATGAGGGTTGAAAGTTAATAACTGGCAAAATTAATGAAAATCTTTAAATTGTTTTCCTGTTTAATTTACACATAATTTGGTAAATGTTTAGATGATGGCCCTCATCCCTGAAGGGGGTGGGTGGGATCGAATGAGGGTGGTCACTTGAGTAAAACCCCATAAAAATTTGCGGCGATCTCCCATAAAAGTTATGAGGGTTGAAAGTTGATTATTTTGACAATTTTCATACAATATAATTCAAATAAAATTCAATAAAAAAAATATTTTCAAGCGGGTGGAGGTGGGGGGATCGAAAGACGGTGGACACTTGAACAAAACCCTATAACCTAACCTAACATAACCTAGAAAGATATTTAAATAATGTTTTATATTACTTTCTCAATATTTTTATGTATTTTTC